TTAATTACATAATTTTCAATCTTTTTAATTGCACATTTTAAGTTGTTTTGTCAATCATGAATTAAAATGGATTTTAAATGTTTATTTGTCTTATTTTATTGCATTTGAAGTGACTTATTTATTTTTTTTAATTAATTGTTGATTTTTGATCAAAATAACAAATTAAATGGCCTGAACTACCTTTGTAAGTAAAGTAAATACAGTCTGGTTTGCTGAGATTTCTGAGGTATTTGTACTTGGATAGAAAGGGGTTACAGAGGTTCCCTTCCTAACATTAAAAAAATGGTATGTCCACAGTACGTTTTGTGAAGGCTAGTATCGTTGTTGTTTAGATGTTTGCCTGCAACTGAAAAACAGGTCTCTAGCAGCTTGACACGTGTGTATCAACACCGACGGTCAATTCGATTTCAGTTTGTTCTTTTACTGACCTTGCAATGGCTTTTGAGACTTGTATATCCCATGTTCTTACAGCATTATACCACAAGACTTTATCTGTGTGCCTGCATAAGAACATATCTTAAAAGAAATAAAGAACTGGCTTTTAATAATGGATCAAGTTCAGTCAAAAAGGGCACCAACAGAAAGTAGATGAAAGTACTGCTCAGAGATAAGCCGGGCTGTAGCCACAGGCGTAGCCAGAGGAGCTGAACCGCTTCGTGACACAAACACACCCATACACACAAAGATCATCAATTAGAGACAGTACGGCACTGCGCCTCCAGACTGTTGATTACACGAGTTGTTTTACAGAAAATCAAAGTCTCTTCTAGAGGTCGACCGATAGTGGATTTTGCCGATACCGATAGCTAGGTTGGACCACACTGGCCGATATACCGATATTTCCAGCAATCAACTATCGGTGCTGATTAATCGGCAAAACCGATACATTGGTCGACCTCTATCTTCACTAAGCAGTGCTTCAAATTTGTGTCACTAACCAAATTATTAATTAGCGAACAAAACCAACGACATCAAACCACATCTGATAACCATTCAAGCGCTGTTGAGTTGAAAAAGAAACAATCAGCATGGTGCCAACGGCAGAAACATTTGTGTGCTAAAAGCCATTTACCTAGTAAAAGCCAATGGGATGTCACATTTCTAAGTGTTAAGTTAGTGTGCACACAATACCATATTCTACATTCCTATTCCTACCCAATACCTAAACTTAACAACTACCTTACTAATAATAAGCAGCAAATTAATAGTTTATTGAGGCAAAAGTTGTAGTTAATGCTTTGTTAATAGCGAGAATTGGACCTTAAAATAAAGTGTGACCACATTTTTTTAACTAAAAAATTTAGGGCCTTGTGAATTCAGTTTTATTTTTTCCAAATTCTGTTTTCTGTTTTAATTTTTCTGTACTTTCCTTTATTGGTTTAATTAAATTTTAATCTAATGCATAATTAGATTTCATGGAACTTCAACAATTTAAGAAATTATTTTTAAAAAGTTACAATGCTAGGGACCTATGAAATGAGTAATAGTAATGTATAACTTCTGATTTGTTGTTGTGAAGACAGAGGTGATACAAAGAGGTGGCATAAAGTCGGGGAAAGTTAGGACGAATCCAGGGACACTGATCAGAGAGGGGTCCCAACAGGGGATCAGTCCCAAATAAATGCGGCTCTCATAAGCAAAGTAATGATACGTTACGACGTCAAAGACGTCTGTCTTGTACTTATATAGAAAAACAATTTAAATCAGCTATGCAACTGCAGTGCATGGGTCACCAAATCTGACAAGGCAGCACTGAAATCTGTTACTCGCCTTTATTTTACACAGAATGTTTGTAATGTTCGCCATATTCACTCTGGTGATGTCTAACCTCCTCTATTTTACATCCCAAAAAGCATTTTGCTCTGATGTGAACAGTTGCAGATATACAGCAAGGTCAACAATTCCGACAATTCAGCATAACAGGTTACCAAAATCTGTTACCCTCCTCTATTTCACACTGAATGGCTTTAATGTTACCCAAATTCACTCTGGTGATTTCCAAACTCTAATGTTTCATACACCAAAGAGCATTTTGTTCTCAGTAAAAGATAAACAGCAGGGTCACCAAATTAGCAGAGGCAGCATTTGAAGTTACTGTAATCTGTAACGGCCCTTTTAACAAAGCCTGATTATAGCCATTACGCGTCCACAAGCAACACACAGTAGTGGTGTTTTGTACAGTAGTGAATTTGCAATTTTTAACACACCAATTCAGTGAATGAGTCAGTGATTCACCCACAAAAATGGTAACTTGGTTGGTTACTGAATGTATAAGTGTTGAATCAGTCGTTTAAGTGATTCAATGACTCACTCAAATTGAATAAATCGGTTGAGTGAATGATTTAAATGATTCACTCATGAATACAGTCGCTTGTCTCCACCTACTGGCTCAAAGATGTAATTTGCTTTGGATTTAAATAAACACAAATTACAGTTTTTCTCAATTGCTAACACATAATTCATGAAACATTTTCTCACAACTATAAACACAATCTCAAAACAACACACCAACTTATGCAAACTTCAAACTTCCAGGTCAAAGTCAAACATTTTAGTCAAAAACACATTCTCTTTTGTCAGACTTAAACTTTGGCCTCAGATGACATACAAACCTGACAAATGCACAGACTACTTTCCTGCCTAGAGAACACTAGTGAGATCAATTCAAAACACTGCTACAAAAACCTGCTTTTGGGAAACAGGAATCCTTTTGCTAGTCAATGTTTGTTACAGTATGCAGTATAAATAGAGGGGTGCAGATACAGTAAAATTCAGCAATAAACTTTAAGAAAAGTTTACTTTCATTACACTACTGTAAAGTGATCTTACAGTAGATGAAAAGCACTAGAAGATAAAAGTTCAAAAACCAAACAACTGAATATACAAACGCATTGGAATATACAGTTATTGTACAGCAATAAATACAATAAAAAAAATCTGCATCTTCTGCCAAGTTGCATTACAGTATAGGTAATATCCTTTTTTGTTATACTATAGCAGTTTTTTAGTCTTCTGACAAAAGATTTTCTCTACATCCCCTAGACAGTCGACTCTCAGTTCTGCACAAATACATGTAAGAACTACTTGGCTACAAATCAATTCAACAGTTACGAGTTTGAAGGTGTGTGCTACAGTATTTACAGTACAAAGTATAGTGAAAGTTCTCTCATCTGAAGTGCTGCTACTATGTACTGTAATTGTAATGTATAAGTAGTGTAAAAACTCTGTAGATGAGCCTGCAGGCCAGCTTTCCTTATGCTCATTCCATGCACAAGAACATGCTCAACTATAGTGCTTTGTATTTCATCAGGAACAAATTAAATTTGACCTCATCCCCTTCGTTTATATTTTCATCAGCTGTGCTCTTGTTCATATCATCCTGAGATTCTGACTGGTGTGTCATCAGTTTTGCTACTTAATGATCACACGTGGATAAATGTGTGCTATTTGTGTTCATTTTGTGATTCTTGAGGTAGTTATATTGTGTGTTTGTGTTTTCTAAATGAGAACATGGTTAAACCTGTGCAAAATGATGACGTTCTTTTGTAGAGTTTTGTAGAAAACACTGAGCAAATTGGAACGTGTGAAATGTGTTCAAAGTTTTGAGAAGCATGTCTTTGTTTCGAGAACTGTATGAATAGTTTGGAAAATTGTGCCAAATGAATCAGTTATAGTGTTTAAGCAATCGAGAAAAACTGTAATATGCTTTTTAAAGCTTTTAAAATGATTAACCGTGTTTTCTTTTAGGCTTGTGCTGCATCATATAAATTACAAACTGCATAAATTCAGATAATTCACTCTTTTTTGTTCTTTTGGCTATATATTGTGATATTATGTTTATTTTTTATTTATTTATTTATTTTATTACTTTTTTTTTTATTTGGTAGACAACAACTCCATACTTTATAGTGGTGATTAGCTTCTTTTCAATCTCTGATGTTTGTTGCCAAAAGACCTCATCTGACCTCAGAAGCCATCACCAATCAAAGCTCCTGTAATGTTCAGTAAACTTCAGCTGCTTACATTTGTGATTTTAAAAATAGCATAGGCAGACAAGAAGAGCTCTGATGGTTGGCATGAAAGCCGATTTTTTAAAAATGTTCAGCCTTAGCACAGTGCAAGGAGAAAAATATGCTTTTGTCCTCCATTCGTTTGAAAATATAAATAAGGCAGTGGCTTTATTGAAGAAAATAGTCTTCTCCGTTATTGGGGCTCTGCTGTGTTTAAACACTAACAGTGGAGATAAGGTGCAGTAATAACGGATAATGTATGAAACTCTTCTTGCCCTAATTTCAAAGAGTAAATAGATGTTTTTTCCAAACAATTTGATATTACAAAATTAGATTTCTCTTTTTTAAGCAGTGTAAAGTTAATGTAATAAACAACAAGTGCATGTTTCTCCTGGAGTGGCAATAATTGCGGAGGCTTCTGCAACTTGCTGCCATGGTGATGTGGCTCATTTGAGGTCCAAGATGAGTGGAAACCTTCGCACACATGTAGACCAGCGAAACACTATGGGTTTCGAATCAATTTCAGCCCGAATCCCCATGAATCTCGCCTTGTGAAGATCACAGCCACTGTGAAAAGCTATTCATCTGGGCAATTCCAAGGTTACATACAAGAAGACCACTGTAGCTCAATGCACGCTATGGGGCTTGGCATGCATCTCCATATTTCATAAACAGATGTGTTGTTTACGGGTGGCAGGGGTGTGTAGACGAGACTCTCTGACCTTGCCAAGTCACTGTAATGGTGAAGGTAACAGCTGTTTGGCCATATGGGGGTTTAGAAGAGCCGTTGGTAACTCATGCTATATTATTCTGCAAAATAATTGTGAATCCTCATATTGCAGATATTTCAGGTGATGATATTTGGTTTGGGGTTTAATAATATATCATAATGTGAGGAAAAAATCCAATTTTGAGCCAATTTTTTAGATTGAATGTTGCATCATTTCTGTTTCAAGCCCATGGCGGGTTCTGAGACACGCTTGTTCTTACCTTGCCACTTGATTTGCTTCTGTTATTCCCACTGGGGAGGGTTGAAGATGAGTTGACGTCCTCATGGAGGCGGTCCAGAAGCCAGAGCAGGAATTCAAGAGCGTCATGCTGGGAATTTCCACGGAACTGTGCACCATATTTAGATACTGTCATCTGGACAAGAAACAAGATAAAGGTCACACAAGTAGTAGTAATAGAAGTAGTAGTAGTAGTATCCGATTGTCTATAAACATAGACAACACAAAAAGTTAAATATGATCCTAAACATGATCCAACTAAACATGATCCTAGTTATTCACTCCATGTATATGATGCTGAGTTATCCAGTGAATCTCTAGAAAAACCAATCCTGGAGTGGTTGAATAATAACCGCAGTGGATCTGACTCACAACAGATAGTTCGTTAGATACTGAGATGCGATAGGGAGCAGATGGAGGATGTAAATTGCATTCTGCTATACAGTGAATGATGCTCCTCACTGCTGATCATGACAACTGTGTAAATGAATAAATGAAGAAACCTCTTCACATCTGTGATCACAAAAAAAGTTCTTATGAAATGCATTGGCAGATACCAGCAGCAGTTTTTTGGTTTGCTTTACAGTAGTAATATTATTTGCACATTTATTTTCATTCAATATGTTTCTGCTTAAAAGTTTGGGGTCAGTAAGATTTTTTTTAAAGAAATTAATACTTTAATTCAAAAGTGACAAAGATGTATAATAAAAATCTATTTCAAATAAACGCTGTTCTTTTGAACTTTTATATATATCAAGTAATCCTTAAAATAACATGGTTAACATGGTTTTCACAAAAATATTAAGCAGCGCAACTGTTTCCAACATTGATAATAATGAGAAATGTTTCATAAGCAGCATGTCTGAATGATTTACGAAGGATCATGTGACACTGAAGCCTTGAGTAATGATACTGAAAATTCAGTTTTGCATCATAGGAATTTATTACATTTGAACATATATTCTTATTAAAAAATTCTTTTTTTTAATTGCAATAAAATTTCACAATATTACTGTTTTTGTTGTAGTTTTGATCAAATAAATGCAGCCTTGCTGAGCAAAAGAGACTTATTTGATTACAACATGACTTAAAGGCCACATCATTTAAAGACGTCTTGAATGTCAGGTGAATTTAAAATCATAACTTTAATGCTGAGTGACATAAAGATTAATTACAGCAGCATTAACCATACGAACTCAATCTAGCAGCTGGGAGCAAACTGCAGATAATAATATGAAGCCGTAGGCCTACAGACTGAGATAACTTAATAATCTTAACATTAGTCATATAGTGAGAAAGTGGGTCATGTGGTCACAGAGTTTAAACCCATCTTCAAAAGAATAATAACCTAGTTTTCGGAATGGTTTCCTCCACTAAATGCCTCACCCTCAAAGGAGTTATTCAGAGGAACAACAATTTATTCAATAACTTCTAATTAAACGCATATGACAGAGAAACTGCTATATACTCCTCAAAGAGGTCAAAGGCCACAAGACTCGTGTTGTGAGAATGAAAATATATCCCAATGCAACCCTCTACATTGCGAGTAAATCACTCGCATATGCGACTAAATCTTACTCTGGGCGACTAAATAATGTCTAACATTAGTCATTGGCTAATAAATTCTTAGATTTTACACGCCAGTATGTGTGTGAGAGGCGTTCAACACAGATTTTCACTCGATAAACACGCTGACTGAGCACTTGAGAGTTTCGCTCTAGAGGTCTACACGGAGGACCCGGGACCGGACCCGGGATCCGTACGGGTTCGGGGCTATATTTTAAATGGTCAGCCGGGTCCGGGTCGGGTCCCAGCATCACAGTCCTTACATTACCTTACATTAGGTAAGACAAAAAGTTACATTTTCGAAACTTGTTTATCGACTTGTTCATAGCAATTTGCTGTGGAATATGTGCCGATCGGGTCCAGTCGGGTCTGTGTCTTCCTGGCCGGGTTTGGGTCAATCTTTCAAGTTTTTGGACCCGTGTAGACCTCTATTTCGCTCTCCGTCAAGCGATCTGTACTATTTGGATTCGCTCAATGGATCATGTCATGTACTCAATGGATGCGCAGTATGTAGCACGCTACCTGTATTTGAAGTACCGTAAACTAGTGTGAAGGCGCACGACTCGCCGTCGCTTTACTGATAGCGCTGTTTCTCACACATGCAAAGAGAGAGAGCGAGAGTCTTGCATACCACACTGAATCGACGCGCTACATGTAAACCATATTCTTTGTTGTATTTTCCTGTCAAAATAACAGAGTTCATTTAGAATTATTCAACTTTTAAGAACAAGCAGAAGATATGCCGGTTTCTCGGCAGTGGGCGGAGCTAATGCGCGAACAGCTCTCGTTGGCTGGCGCTCATCTATTACCGTCCCTGTTTTGATAATAGTAGTAGTAGTAGTAGTATCTTTTAATAATAATTACTATGTGGAATATGTGCCGATCGGGTCCAGTCGGGTCTGTGTCTTCCTGGCCGGGTTTGGGTCAATCTTTCAAATAATTGACGGTCCGCGTCGGTTCCATTTTTGACATTTCTCGGTTCTGCACGGGCCCGGGTCCAACTTTCAAAATAATAGACGGGTCCGGGTCGGTTCAG